CCAGCTGCGGGCCGTCACGTGACCCTTCAGGCCCTCACTGTTGCCAGGACCTCCCCCTCCCCCGGGGCCGTTGCTAGGGAAAGTGAGCGCACGCGGGGCGGGGGCGCGCGCTGGCTCTTAAAGGAGCCTTGCCTGGTAGCGGGAGCCGGGGTACGGATGGATTCTTGGCTTGTGCGAAGCAGGGTCCGGCGCAATGCAGGTTTACGTTTTCCACTCTCTTCATTTTCCTGGCCGCCGATTGCTGACAACTTTTAACCTCATCCCCCCATGCAAGCGTCGCCGAGCCCCAGGCGGGGAAGGGCGATGGAGTCTCTGCAGCCGCAGAAGTTTGCAAACGGTTAAATATGATACAGCAGAAACGCATTTGCTGTTGCTTTGCCAGGCCCTGCGGGAATTTCTTTAAAACATTGCTCCCCCCCCCCATTATCCATTATTTATGTATTCGTGGGAGTGTGGTTTTGTAACCAGTTCAGATGAATTGAAACAAAAACGCCACCGCAGGGAAGGGGCGCGGGGTGCGGGGAATGAGGCCGAGGAAGGCCGGGGTGATCCTGCGCATCTGTTCTTCCGCCGAAGTCTTGGACGGCACCTGCCTTCACCCTGGAGGCGGGGGTGAAGTCCGCAGAGAGATGTGGCGCCAGGGGTAGGGAGAGAGAGGGCCAGGGGTGAGAACCGACTCCCCGAACTCCACATTAGGCCGGAAGCGGATCATCCTTGGGTCATTAGGCAGAAACCACCCTCAGGGTCATGCCTGAGTTTTCTGATTCCCAGGCCCCCCCCCTCCCCCCGTCACTCTCCTGACACCTGCAGTTTCTCCAATGGTTCCGCCATTGCTCACGGGGAGACCGGATCCCGGCTTCCTATCTGGGGAGGGGCTGAGAGACCTGGGCTGTCCCAGAATGGACGCAAAATATCCCTGCCACACAAAATGCTCTATTTCTCTTATTTTGAATTATTTAAACTTTATTTTTATACACCAACAGTTTTGTTCTCTGTAAATTAAAAAAAAAAGTAAGAAAAAAGCAACTGCCACAATTTCCATCGAACCATTGTTAACATCTTCACGAATCTTCCTCCAGTCTCTATTCTGTGCCAATATAAACATGTGCAAATATACATATATACATTGTAAACACAGTATATATGTTTAACTTCTCTCTTTTTAACAAAATGGACTCGTGATTCATACTGTCTGGAATCTGCTTTTCTCCTGTAATGATGTAAAGGCCTCTTTTGGTGTCATCACATACAGATTGCATCATCATTTTAGTGGCTGTGTTGGGGCTGAGATGGAGGTGGATAGGAATGCGGAAGTGGTCAGGATCAGGGTTATCTCTCGTCCTCATTACTTGTTTATTAGAAAAGATGCATTTTACGTTTCTGTGATGCAACACCAATTCTTGCGGTTTCCAATCAACCATATCAAAATTTCCACTTCTCATTCCTGCATCTCGGCATATTTGTATTATTATTACCTTGGGAGTAATTCCCCTCCCTGCCCTGAAAATCAACATGCTCTTGAGAAATATTGTTTGCTGGCCAGCTGAAAGTGGGCTTGGGTGTAAGAATAGAGCTACCTTCCTGGGGATACTGGGGGTGAGCTGTATGGAGATGAGTGTGAGTGCGTGTGTGCGTGTGTGTGCACTCGTGTTTTCAGGCTGAGGGAAAAGACAGGAAATCAGAGGAAGCTGATAAGCATTAATCTATTTGTTAGTTCATTCAGCAGAGTTCTTGAGCCCTTTTTAAGGCTTTGTGTTAAACCATGAGAAACAAACCTGTCCCAGGCTTGAGGAACTCTGCCAGGTGAGAAAGGCACCTGCTATATAATGTGACTAGTGCTAGAATAAAGATATATTAATTTCATACACCTGCTGTAACAATTACCACAAACTTGTGCTTAAAACAACACAAATTTGTTATCTTACAGTTCTGGAGGTTAGAAGTCCCAAATCAGTGTCACTAGGCTAAAGTCAAGATATCCTTAGGGCTGGTTCTTTCTGGAAGTTCTAGAAAAGAATCAGTTCCTTGCCTCATCCAGCCTCTGGACGTGCTGGCATTCCTTGGCTCACGGCTGCATCACTCCAAATTTACTTTTGCCTTCCCCTGACTGACCTCCTATTATGTGTGTTACATGCTGTTAAGTTGACTCTGACTCCGGCCACCCTATTAATGAGTGCTGTCCATGATGTCCTGTCCTCATCAGCCCTTCTTAACCCTTCTGAGCTCCTGTGGACTCAAGCCTATGGCTTCTTTTATGGACTCAGTCTCATACTTGGTCTTCCTCTTTTCCTGCTGCCTTCTGTTTGCCCAGCATTGCTGTCTTTCCCAGCATTGCTGTCTTTTCCTCTCATGATGCGCCTGGAGGAGGATAGCTTCAGCTTTGTCGTTTTTTGCCTCCAGTGATGTTTCAGGCTTCGTTCGCTCTAGGATCCACTTCTTCATCTTTCTGAATATGGACCAGTGTATCCATAGTGCTGTCCTCTAATGATATATTTCAAATGAATCCATTTTTTTTTCTATCAGCCTTCTTCACTGTCCAACTCCCACATCCATACATAGTAATTGGGAATGGCAGGTGCAGTCCTGTGGGCGGGCGGTGGGGGGGCCCTGCCTGATCCTGCAGGGAGCTCTGGAATGTCAGTTACTTCATATTTGTCCCCACCCATAGGCACTGGTTAAAGGCTGCAGGAGGAGGGTGTTAGGCGCACAGATGTTAATTCTCAGGTACTGCCCGCTTCCTACCTCAGTGTGCAAAGTGGCTTCAGTGCCCTAGGTGGTCTAAGAAAGCAGATCCTCAGATATTGGCTGTTGGTGGGGTGGGGGTGGGGACATGACAAAGGGACCCCAGGGGATCTGGGCAGAGAGCAGATATTACCCTACAAGGTTGAACCACAACACCATGTATATGGCATTTTTATGGGCTCTGCAAACTCCAAGATCGTTCCCACCCCAGGCCCTTGGCACTGGCTGTTCCCTCTGCCTGGAACACTCACGTTTTCTCCTGATGGTCACATGACTTATTTCCTTCTTTCGTCCGCTCAAATGTCACTTCTTCAGAAAAGTGTGCTCTGACCTCCTTATCTAAAGTAGCCCTCCACAGGGGCAAGGAGTTTGCCTATCTGGTACACTTTATCTCCAGTCTTGGCTTAGGGTCCTGCACATAGTAGGTGCTCGATAAATATTTGTTGGCTACATGAGTGGGTCATTGAAGGGATTTTCAAGAGTAATTTTGATCACATAACATATACAGGCTTCAGACTCAACAAATACTCACCGGGTCCCATCCCCTTCCCTCCCTGAGTTGGGCTCTGGGAATGCCAAGATGGACAAGATAGGATTTCTGCCTTCCAGGAAATAAGGTCCGTAGCGAGATGAAGGTGCAAACAGATGCAATTTGAGCTGTGCAACTCTTAGAGATCAACCTCTGGGAGCCTCAGTTTTCTTCATCTGTAAAATGGAATAACCATTTCTATCTTGTAGGCTTATTGTGAGGATAACAAGATAACATACGTATGGCATCTGTAGCTCTGTTGGGTACATATTAGGTCTGTGATAGTGGAAATGTATATGCTCCAGCCTGGCTCATAGCTAAAAAGAGATGGACACACACATGCATACGCGCGTGCGCGTGCGCGTGCGCGCGCGCACACACACACACACACACACACAGTATATGTTTTTCTTCTACCAAAACTCAGTTTTAATTCTAGAAATTTAAACTGAGTTTTGTTGGCCCAAAACAGCACCAAACACATTATATAGCACTCATGTTTCAAGGAGTCTTCCAAGTGCTTTCCATACCACATTAACTAACTTAATCCTCAGAACAATCCTACAAGGCAGCTACTATGATTACTCCACTTCACTATTGAAGATACTGGGTTTCTACCCAAACACGGAAGATGCCAAGATGAACAAAACATCAGTTCTATGTCCACTAGATACTCTTCATCTCCTCCTGTTACCCGATGACATCTGCCATGTGATGTAAGTTGACTTTTGAAACCATGGACAAAAAGGCAAAGACTTACAGTTTTGTGACAATATGAGTCCCAAAGAACTGAACCATGTACAGTTCTTTCTGAAATATCGTGCTGTGAAATTATGTGCCCCCAAGGAAAGGCTAACTATTTTTAGAAAGAGGGCAATAGAGTCTTTTGGAGTTATGCCTGAATATGGTCATAATTGGGCAAGGGACACAGGGAACTCCAGTTTTGGCCAAGGGAGCTTTTGGAAACACAGTTCTGACCAAATCATTTCTCCGTTTAAGACTCTTCAACACTGGAAGGAGCCAAAATATCAACAGGGAAAAAAATACATCTCGGGGCTCATCGCTGCCTCCAGGAGGAAGCCTAAGCTCTTTCTTCCGGAAAGAGGCCTTCCTGCTGGTCTCACTCCCTGTCCCCCATCCCACACAACCTCTTCCTTTGCTTTCATTGGACCACCTGTTGTTTCCTGAATAGTCCCAGGTGAACCTTTGCACCTCTGGTTCACCTGGGAAGCACCTACATGTGTTTCAAAACTCAGCACTAGGGTATTCTTCTATATGAAGCCATACCTGGCCCCCTGGGTAGAACCAGCCAGCCTTTTGCCCCATTTGGGTGTTCGCAGAATTCCAGGAGGACAGGAGAGTTCTGTTTGGTCATTGTCCTCTCCTTCTGTAGCATGAGCTCCTCGAGAGTAGGGACCCCTGTCCTCCCTCAGTTCTCTGACACTGGGTAGCCAATCAACTGATATTAACTGGGAGCCAGCCATGTGCCTGGCGTGCTTCTAGGCACTGGGGACATGGCAGAGAAAAGACAGACAGAACTCAGCCCTCAAGAAGCTTAGATTCTTATGAGGGCAGCAGACAGACAATGAACACACAAGATGAGATGATTTTCAGGCCAGATATATGTCGTGAAAGAC